TATATATATATATATATATATATATATATATATATTATTTATTTATGGATGCTACAATTTGTATTCCTTTCCCCCTATCCCATCTGCTACTCCTCCACACATTCGAGATCTTCACACATCTCCAGAGAGGCCGTCGTGCCGAGCAACACGTACGCGAGTTGGGTGCTGATGTGTCTGAGGAAATGCGGTGGGTAGAGCACCAGCAGCTCCTCCCCGCGCTCCGTCGTGTGTTTTTTGCTAGACGAGGTATGCAACCACGCCGCGAGCATCGCGCGGAGTTCGCTTTCGCGTTCTTTCAAAAAAGCCCCCCCGCGTCGGGCGGTGGACCAGCCGTGAAGCACACAGGCCGGGAGATGCACGAGTCGGATCCCCGTCGCCGCGAGCACGCCATTCGGCACGCAGCCACCCCCGGCGGCTTCAAAAATCGGCGTCTTCAGGGGGTGCATATCGACATGCCGGGGGGTCCCTCCACGAGGTGGGGGGGCGGCGCCGACGTGGAAGGCCGTCAAAAGACTTTTCACGAGGCTCCCAGGCGAGGTCGGCAGCACCCCGTGGGGTCGACCTGGGGGGGAATCCATCAATAACGAAAGCGCGCGGGATCGGGCCTCCCCCTGGGCGAGGCCCGTTTCGGGGGTTTTCGCCCTCGGATCCTCCGGGAGGGGTTTTTTCGCGCCCCGGGGTTCCCCAGAATCGGCGAGGGGCTGCGTTTGGGGTGGGGTCGGATGGCGATTCCCTCCCCCCCCCCCGCCATACCCAACGGACAACGCCTCCTCCCCCTCGCTGCATTTTCGTGTTTCCCGATAGCTAAACCAATTCACCAGCTGCGCAAGCATCACGGCCTGCTCGTAAACCTGAATTCGCTGCCGCTGATGCATCGTGAGGGGGGTTCGTCGAGGGCCGGTTGAATCGACAGGCGACAGCGAGTGATCGGACGCGATCAACCCCGGGTGGTATCGCGCGAAGAGGTCGGCGTCGATGTACGTTTTTTCATAATCGCACACCCCATTAAAAACCTCCCGTACGAGGAAGAAAATCCCGGCCTCGAGGAGAAACTTCGGGATCTGCTCCACCGCCTCCACGACGGGGAAGCACTGCAGGATGAATTTTTCCACGAACTCAAACGTTTGCCGACAGCGCTCCGCCGCGTAAGGGTCTTTCTTCTCCGAGGCCTCCCGTGGGACCCAGATGTGGCCGACGAAGCTCAAATCCTTGCAGGCCTCCCGCATCCACTCCCGCTCCGAGTGGACGTCGTAGCACTCCAGGATCATCTGATTCCGACACCGCACCCGCTCCAGCCGGGCGATCCGCTCCTCCGTCGTGTGCAGCGCGGTCTGCTTCGAATCGTCGTGGGGGGTGTGGCTGAAGAGAATCTTCCACGCGTAGATCGCGGCCGCGCAGGAGATCCGCCGGACGAGGTTATTCACGACCCCCCAACGCTCAAAGGGGCGGCAAAACCGCCGCCCCCCCAAGGGTCTCCCCCGCCGCAGTTCCCACGCCTCGACGTAGCTTTTATACCGCACGCTGCACAACACCCGCGCGCGAACGGCGTCGTCTGGGGTGAAACGCCCGTTCGATTTCCGCGGCGAATCCGACCCCGCGGTCGTTCGCGGCGATTCCGTTCGATTCCCACGCGACCCTCCTCCTTCGTTCAGGGCCGCCGGAGGCCCCCCCCGGCCGCGCCCACGACCCACCAAACACCTCCGCAGGGCGGCAAACGGGATGTGGCTGAAAATCCCCCGCCGGTGCTCCGTCCCTTCGCGACGACGGAGTTCCGCGAGCCGGGATGGGTTCCGCGGATCGAGAAAAGGCGGGGTTGGGGTGGATTTCGCCTGCCCGCGTTCCCCTCCCCCGCCGGGCGGGCGCGTCGCCGCGTCGGCCTTTTCGCCCCCGGCGGTCGTCGATTTTTTTTTAATCCCGGCGTACCCCATCGGGGGTTGCATCGGGAAGCGCTCACAGACGACCGCGAGGGCATACACCAACGGCAACGGCGCCCCCAAGAGGCGGTTGAGGACGGAAACGACAAACCCTTCGCTTTCCCGGTTGTACGCGTGGATGTCTTTCGTCGAGATGCCGTTTTCCAACAACGGGAGGGCGAAAGAGGGGCGACCAACCGGTTTTGAAACCGGGCTGCGCGCCATCCGCGAAGAAGGGAAGGGGGGGGGGGGTCGCTCGTCCACGATTTCCCGGGCGCGATGCCTTTGCGGAGTTCCCGCGCACGGGCGCCGCCCCCTCCTCCTCCTCCTCCTCCCCCTCCCGTCGTCTCCGATTTCGCCGGCGAACTCGACGAA